AGAAACCATCTGTGCAGACAAGAAGCTGTGCACTATCCTGTGTCCCTGGAACACGGGAGATTCAGATTCAAATTTGTGATTCAAGTAAGTGACTGCTACAGTAGTACTGTTATTTCCACAGAAATCCAGGATATCTTGAGGTTTTTGTCTTTCTTACACTCAGGAACCTAACTTAAACTTCTGTCCTTCAGTGCACTTCCCTCCATCTGAACCATCACAGGTAGACATTATCCTTTTTCCCTACACTATTCTACTTGCACAAGCATAGTATCCTCATCACCATTAAATGAAGAGCTATTGATAAAAAGCATCGTTTTATGTCTATCTAATCAGCGTCCCTTTGAAAAGCTCGAGGTCTTCTCCATCTCACTTTCTGAGGAAGTCCGCATTCATCTTACACAAAAATCGTGAAGCTCTGGGACCAAAGCTTTGTCATAATTGACTATTTTCAAATCAAAGAAGAGAAGGTTGAATATATTTTGTCTCCTTCAAGTAACTGTAAACACTCTGCTCAACTGTAGACACTTGAGTAATTCACAAACTGTATCCCCCTATCTATTCAATGATGATTTTCCTAATAGAAGTTCTGATCAATATGAAATACTCCAGAAGATATCAGCATGCCTGGAGCCCTGACACATGCTATGGATCTACAACACAGGTAGTCACCAAGTATCTCTTGCTATCTCTTAAGAGTACTCAAATTTCCCCTGGGAGAGGCTATAGAAACTGCAAAAACAAACTTAAAAGTCTTCTGTAGTGTTGACAAGATTATTACTGATTACTTGAAAACCATGTCCCAGGCAACAAGAGAGATCATCAGACTTATGTAAAATAAGTTACCTCTCATGAGGAAATAACATATCATTAACAGGTAAGAAAGTGCCCCAGTCTGTTATTCCTACTATTTTTCAGTCCAAATGTATTCATCTTGTTTATTAAACTTGAGAGAGAGTTACATACATCACACAAATTCAGAGCTTCTCCCAGAATCATCTGACTTAAGATGAAATAAGTGAGCTCAACAGGCAGAATGAAACCAGTCTGGCAGCTTTACACAGGGAAACAGTTGTGTTGATAGGCAGAAACTTTTGAAACAGCAGACAAAAAGGTATACAGCTACCATAACCAAAGTGTTTTGGAAAGACTTCTGAAACTGCTGACCTCAAAGAGTGCTGGAAATCATTTCTCATATTACTTTGTAGTTCTGCACAGGAAACCTGGTCTGGTAAAATTTTACTTCCCTGTACACATCTTTTCTCCTCCTTTACTTACACAGAGAGAGTGCCAGATATATCTTGGAACAAAGACTTCACCAAGTGGCCCTAGACAGCCTTAGAATAATTTCCATCTTTGCCTTAATCCTCAGCAGCATTCTTCAAGGAATAAAGTCAATAGCGCATACTTCAAATCATATAAGGCTACAGTACAGACAGATTAACATCTGTGCTAGCAAGAGAAATGCCTTATTACTGATAGACCCATCCCAAGAGGAAATTGAAGTTCTTGGTTCAAGAACAAAAATAAAAATCTATTTTCAATGCCTTTAGCCAGCCTGTGAAGCATAAAGGCCTTTTACGCAAGTTGTCATGCAGGTAATTAGAAGAGCCAATAGGTTTGACCTACAGATCAGAAACAATAGATTCATTTGTTCTGATCTAGATTGAGTTAGATTAGTGCCAACATATCACAGCAAGAACTCAGACTACAGGCTATCCCATCTTCCACAAAACTGAAATACACCTACATGCGCACACATGGAAACATTCTTTCACAGAACTTCAGTAGATCCAACTAAGACTGCGTCAGAAATGAGACCACATATTAGTTCTGTATGCTCATCAATGAATGTATAAATCAGATCATCCCCAATACCTAATATCTCGACTCAGAAAAAAAACAACAAACCAAACAACAGGGTATGGCTTTTGTAGAGCTACGAAAGCTACAGGCTGTTTTCTTTCCCCTCTCCTCCCCCCCCCCCCAATTCTAAAGAGACTGTAAAGTACGTAAAGACAATTCTAGGTAAAGCTAGAATAATTCTTGATAAAAGTTGTAAAATTTTAGTTTGTATACGCTCAACAGAGGAAAAAAAACACTTTCAGACAGACAGGCAATTCGAGCATTGTTTTTCCTATCAGCAAGGAAAAGGCTGAAAAAACAGATTGGATTTTTATTATCTTTTCACAAGGCTGCTTACTAGAGTTTGGTAAAATGTGAGCATAACTGAGCCTTAATTTAAAAATCATAGAATGGCTTAGGTTGAAGAGGACCTTAAAGATCATCTAGTTCCAACCTCCCTGTCATGGGCAGGGCTGCCACCCACCAGATCAGGCTGCCCAGAGTCCCATCCAACCTGGCCTTGATCACCTCCAGGGACAGGGCACCCACAGCTTCTCTGGACAGTCTGCGCCAGCACATCACCACCCTCTGAATAAAGAATTTCTTCCTAACATCCAACCTAAGCGCCCCCTCTTTTAGTTTAAAGCCATTCCTCCTTGTCCTGTCACTACTGCAACTGTAAAAAGTTGGTCCCCTTCCTGCTTGTTAGCTCCCTTCAAGTGCTGGAAGGCCACAGTGAGGTCTTCCCAGATCCTTCTCTTCTCCAAGCTAAACAAGCCCAACTCCCTCAACCTTTCTTCAGAGGAGAGGTGCTTCAGCCCATTGAACATCTTCAGGTAGCTCCTCTGGACCCATTCCAAGAGTTCTGCATCTTTCCTGTACTGTGGGCTCCAGGCTTGGAAGCAGTAATCCAGATGGGGCCTCACAGGGACGGAATAGATGGAGACAATCATCTCCTCCCTGCAGGCCACCCCACATTTGATGCAACTCAAGATACTTCTGGTCTTCCAGGCTGCAAGAGCACACTGACTCCTGTCCAGCTTTTTGTCCCTCAGGACCCCTAAGTCCTTCTCTGCAGAGCTGCTCCCAAGTTTTTAATCCCAGCCTGTACTCGTATGTGGGATTGCCTTGAACCAAGCACCTTGCTCTGGCCCTTGTTAAACCTGATTAGATTCTCACATGCAATTATTTTCCTTTTGCCAGTTTACAGTGCATGGAAACACTGCGTCAATTTCAAGCTGGGAAAAAAAAATAATAAATCCATTGATTTAAATGAATTCAAAGAAGTCTTTGGCGCACAAATTTATAGTGAAACATACCCTTGCAGTTAGCCTTCCTTTCACCATATACATGACTATGGCAGTTTAAAACCAGGAAGTTAGATTTGGCCATACAGAAGTGCCTTGAGACACAGGCTTCCTTGCTAAACACTCAGCTGTTGCCTGTCATCATTGCTGTGAGTGGAGAGAGCCAGCACCCCTTCCTGGTAACCTCAGCTTACCATGTCGGTAGCACATATCTCTGTCAGCTCTCTGCAGCATGCTAACTATTAACAGTATTCTCTTGGGTTGCTTTGATTTCTAAGACTCCTCTATCTTTTTTCTATATTCCCTCACTCTCACTAGATTAATCCTTTTGTGCAAGGCTTGAAGAGTATGGTCTCATTAAAGGCTGCAGCAGATGGCAAAGATGCGCTATGGGAATGACAGCAGGATGCACATGAGATCTACATGAAGGAGTGCTGAATAGCAGCAATACAATACTGTGGCATCATTCATCATTGTAGAAAGCAAGATATAAGGTTGTCTCTAGAGGTTAATAGTGTGAAGTCCCACGAGGTCCTTCCAACCATTGACATGCAGTTTCTGATACTGAGCAATTGCAATCCCTGCTGTTCATCTTGGTGGGTTAGCATGGGATTGGAGCGAGGGAGAAGGGATGATTGGAGAAGCATTTTATTGCCCATATAGCTCTTTCTACAGGGAAATGAACAATCTTACAGAACACTAAGAGTTGAGGAAGCAAGAACTCTTAGCTTGTGGGAAAAAAATAACAGGAAGAAAAATCATCCACACAAAGCTATGAGGCAATAATCAGGAGCAGAGCAGGAATGAGGCGTTAACCCTCAAGCACTGCTAATTCCCCTGGACCATAATCTTGTTCACAGAAAGGCTGAACAAAAGCAGCTTCCCTCTGAACTCCAATCAGTTCCTTTACCAGATACTCCTAAATCTAACTTTATCCCCTGATTGCTGCAATTCTGCTACATTAAAGAGATTCTCTGAAGTAACTCTGATTCATCCACAATACTGCTATTTAGCAACCAGAGCATGAGAGCAATGCAGTTATGTTTGGATTTCAATTCAATTATCAGCAAAGTCATAGCAGAGATCCAAGATGTCTCAGTGGAGCTGCAATTGCATGCTGACGGCACCTTTCCTCCTCTTCCCCAAATTAAAGCCTTTCTGGAAACATCCCTCTGCCACACAGCACTGTGGCTGCTGGGTCAGCGACTAGGGGCACACGTGCTTTATATGAGTGCTCCTCTGGGAACAAGAAGACATTTTCAGAAAAATATTGAGACTCCTCCTTGCTTCCAGGGACAAAGCTGGTTTCTGGAAGCAGAGCTAGTCAGAGATACCATAGAAGCAAGGCTCGAGGAAAGGGAAATACCACATCCCATAGGGACACAGGCTTATAACATGAAACAGAAGTAAGAGCTGAGATTAAAATAGTTCAAATGGAGCACTTTTCTTTTCAGAGGAGAAAGGAGAAGTCACCCCAGGCCAGACCAAGAATAGCTCTTACTATAGACCTATTTCAGCATAACTAGGACCAGTCCCTCCAAGCAAAGGGGCTGGGGGCCCAGACCTCAGCACAGCAAAGAAAAGCCCAACTAGGAAAGATGACACTCACGTTTAACTCTACTGCCAACTTCAAACATCAGAGCAACACAGTTTCAGCATTTGAAGGTATAATTATCCCTTCTGAAAGCAATATTTTTCAAAAGACCCTTTCAATCAGGCAGCTGAAGAGAGGCTAGGATATAATGAAAAAGGACACAAAGACTTTCTGCAGTGAGTTCTCACTATCTTCCATTCTGATGATTATAGCTAAGCTACTGCAAGAGGGTGTTAAAGGTAGAAATCAATACTCACCAATAATTTTTAGCAGATATCTACAAAGCTCAGTCCACAAAAACTACTTCTGTTCTTCTTAGCACGTACAGCTCCACAACACCATCAGCCATCTGAAAACGACAAGGAACCGACAAGCAGGACCAACTTCATTCTGGGCAGCGCATCCAAAGGGCCCTTAGAGAGGCACCTCATCATAAGCCACAGCTGGTAAGCAGCTACTCACCACAGATGGAGACTCCAGTGCTCGTAGGTCCTGAAAGTAATTACAACTTTGGCTACCACATGCTGGGAAATTCAATTACATCCTTCAGGTGGTCTAAATGAGCAGAAGTGGGCCCTACCCCACACACAGGGAATTAAAGCAAAAAAAGCTCTTCTAGAAAATAACGGATCAGTACATCAGATTATTAGTACAGTTCTCTACCAAAAGTCTTGGTGCTTGTCTTATTCCCATGTTTTTTTCATTACTTCTGAGAAACTTCTAAGTAGCATCTAGTTCTGCATGTCCTAGATAACACTCATTGCTTTTCTACCTGGAGTTGAAAGAACCTGCTTTCAGGGAATGTCTATGCTTTACCTGGAGGAACAATACACTTTTAAGTAGCATTTGCTAATGTGACTAAGCCGTATCACTAATATCTGCAGCAGAGTTCTGCTGGGAAGCATCTGTATTTCCTTAAAGTCTGACTGGAAACTCTGTTAGCTCTAATGGCTGCCCCAGAGATGCTTCTACAGCACTGTGAGCTCTGAAGAGCAATCGCCTCCCTCTGTCTTTTCTTCCTTTATGTCTGGGGAAGAGTTTTTTACTGTAATACTAAAGACTGCAGCTTTGACTAGGTTGATAGCTTAATTCAAGAAGTTGTCACCCTCAATTCAAAAGTAACAATGCTGAAATAAAAATGTCCTTCCTTGTCACCTCTTGGAGATACAAACAAAGCCAAAGCTATTCATTTATTTTCTGTGGTCCCTGGGAGCTCTGAGGAACTGTATGTCCTGCTCTGAGGAGCCATCCATGGCTGTTTTCTTGCTGTTTTACAGCTGGTGATTTACAGCAGAGGTTGAAATCTTTAAGAGTAAACACTATAGTTTTATTTTACATTAAGGCTTTGCTGTGTCTCATGTTCCATTTAACAGAGTGCAGTGATTCTTAAATGGTTTAAAGGCTGTTTTCTCAGAGCAAGACCTTATAAAACAGTTGACTGTTTAATGTGAATTCCACAACAGAGCCACAACAATTCCCTCACTAAATTTTTGGAGGTCTAATAGCCATCTGGTAGAGCTGCGTGGCTTTGAGGGAGGTAAAAGGATCAAATTTAGATTGGAGACCTAGCTTGGGATGACTAAGTTAGGTGAGAGGAATCCCTACCAAGATGCTGCAACAGCTGCTGAGATTATTTGTGGAGCAGCCACCAAATGAAATGTAACACCAGATTTTCAATGGAGTACTCTACTGTTTTTAGAAATTAAGCTCCCCAGCCCTGTTCTTGTTTTGGAATTCATTTTAATGTTGAAGATGCAGGAAGTACTTTTGTTCATCACCACAAAGGAAACTAAGTGCCTAAGTCCCAGTGGCTTCAGTAGGAGTTAAAATCATTCAACCTTGGGACTTTGAACTCCATTTAGTTTTCTTCTCCAGTGATGATGTAAATAAATGTGAGCTTTAAATCTTTACATAATGGACAAATTGGTAGGTTCCATGAATATTTCTGAGCAGAATTCAGTGAAATCTGGGAGGAAATATCCTCTCCTGAGGCCTAGATTTGCTGGTATATGGAAGGAGATGTTGCTCCTTCCACTGATATTCCCTGGTGGAGCAGAGCAGCCCAAGTGCTGGGTGGTGGTTGTAGTGGGGTGCTGGTAACCCTCCTCTGTACACCTAACCCAGCCATGGGCCTCTCCACACTCCCCCTTTGTTGGCTAGCACTGGTTTAAATGTGGTAGATTTTTTTCTATCTTTTTTTCTATCCAGTCACACCCCGATGGCTGGATAGTAGCCATAAGCAAATAAATGGACCATGCTATCTGTGAGCTCTGAAATTAGCTACTGTTAGCAGTCATCTTACACTCCCTGTTACTGCACTGGTATCTAACTGGTTGGTATTGTCTGTTTTATTCCTCCTTATGCACACAGCCAAGCAGGACAATAGTATATAATTGACTAAATAGTTTTCAACAGACTGTCTGTACTCAGTGAAAACAGCCCCAAAGCATAAGACCGTTTGCTGTTCTGTTGTATTCATATCTGGAATGTACTAAACTATCACGTGTACATTTACTTACTATGAACATTAAGATTCTCACACACAAGCCATGCTAGTTCTAAAAACAGTAAACTCCTAGACAGCATTTCTTCTAAGAGTTAATATGACTGCTTACTGCTACACTTGATACACAATGGAGTAGGGAGAAGTTTCTTTAATTATTTAGAAGCTAAGAAAAAAGGGGGAAAGAAAGACTATTGAACGATCCCTGAAAGATTCTTAACCTTTCCCAGGCAAATATTTTGGATGAATTTTCTGATTTTAAGAAGAGAAGAGAATTACTCATCACATTTGTGACAGTAAGTTACAAGATATCCTGAACTGATAATTTAGCATGTAAAATCATAAAAGATTTAGCTGCCAAGTTGAAAAAAATCACAAAAAAATTGTAATTCCCTGAACTGTTATAATTGCTTACTACTGGCATGAAGCCAATGAATAAATTAATGTGGTAGGAAGCAATGGTTAGACAATGACTTATCTTAGTAGACTGTCAAGTGTTCACCAGCCATGTGGGTGAGCCAGCCATCCATCAATCACAATGTTATGCGACTGCTGGATACAGCTTTGCTCATACGGCTGGAGTGTTCTCCCTAGCACACCCCCTCGTAATGTACTCCCTACATTACGCCAGGCTGGGCACAGCATGATGGAGGCCCTTGTTTCCTGGCACCTCCTAAGAGGAGACGGTGTGGGCACAAGATGGCAAGGGCTCGGAGTCAGCTTCAAATGTTAACAGTAAAACAACAGCTGCAGAAAGAGACACTGTGCTGTAAACCAAGATGTAAACTGCTCTCAGAAAGGAGCCCAGCTGGAGTTCAAACAAGACGTGACTGCAGGTTTGAAAAGAACTTTTTGCCAGAAAACAGCTTGATCTTGACTGAAAGCGCATACCAAACTGAAGTTTCTCTAAGCAAAAGGTTGCATCTGACTGTGAGTGAAGTGATTAAACAACAGCTTTAAGGTTCAGCAACAAAAGTCTCAGCAGAATCTGAAGACATTTAAGGGGCCTGATGCTCCTTGTTTTACAGCATGACAAGGAGAGAAAAAATGTCTTCAGAAAAGAAATGGGAATGCACTGCATGTAAAAGCAAAATGGGGTTCACCCTGATCCTTCAGGACAAATATTCCTGCTCTTGCTCACCAGCAGCCGCTGCCTTTGTTTCCAGGGCTAAGTGCTATTTTAAGCACTTTGCAGTAGTTGAATAGCTAAACAACCTGCTGCTGCCAGAGCATGCTGAAGGCCAAGCAGTGGCAAAATAGGCTGCAGACCTAATTGACCCACACAAAGCCACTGGACATACTGTCTGTGGGCTTGTTTGGTTAATTTTTGAGGATTCTGCAGCTAGGTTGAAGCTTAATGGCCTTCAGCTGTGGGAGTGAGGAGTGGTTTTAGGAGCAGGAAGGTAGACAAAAAGGGAGGAAAGAAATTATTTGTTTCCCTCTGAAATTAAGAAGCGGCTGACTTTAGCTAAACTAAAAGCTCGCACTTGCACTCACAGATGCTCATCACGGGCAGAAGAAAAAATACAGGAAAGATTACCTAAAATGTTTAAATTCTGCAAATAGCCAAATTAAGAGAATTAGACTAGAACTTCACTTAACAGTGTATGTTATATAGGCATGACATAATACTACCTATTTTGGAGTACTTAAAAATTTGCTACAGTCCTTTTAAACCCCTCCAGAGAGACCTAGACAGGCTTGAACAGTGGACCCAGGTGAACACCAAACTCAAGTACAACAAACCAAGGTGCAACAAACCAAAGTACAAGGTCTTGCACCTGTGTGCTGGCAATCCCTGCTGTCAGTACAAGCTGAGAGACAAAAAGATGAAGAACAGCCCTGCCAGAAAGGAATTGGGAGTACTGGTGGATGGCAAGATGGACATGAGCCAGCAACGTGCCCTTGCAGCCCAGAAAGCCAACCGTATCCTGGGCTGCATCAAAAGAAGCATGGCCAGCAGGGAAAGGTAGGTGGCCCTGCCCCTCTGCTCTGTGCTGTTGAGGCCTCATCTGGAGTACTGTGTCCAGATGTGGAGTCCTCAGTACAGGTGTGGTGTAGACCTGTTAGAGCACATCCAGAGGAGAGCCACAAAAATGATTCAAGGGATGGAACATCTCTCCTTTGAGGACAGACTGAGAGAGCTGGAGCTGTTCAGCCTGCAGAAGAAAAGGCTCCAGGGAGTTATGACAGTGGCCTTTCAGTATCTAAAGGAGGTCTGTAAGAAAGAAAAGGACAGACTCCTTTACAGAGTCTGCTGTGATAAGAAAAGAGGAACTGGTTTCCAAACTGAAGGAGGGGACGTATAGATTGGATGTAAAGAAAAAGTGTTTTACAATAGGAGTGGTGAAGTACTGGAGCTGGCTGCCCAGAGAGGAGGCGAATGCCCCATCCCTGAAGACATATAAGGTCCGGCACTCTGAGCAGACTGACCTAGCTGTAAGTGTCCTAGTTCATTGCAAGGGAGTTGGACTAGATGGCCTGTTAGGGTCCCTTCCAACTCAAACGATTCTATGATTCCATGAAAATCCTTGCCCTTGCTGACACCAGCACAACAAGCATCTGCCCTTTCACATCACATGGCTTGGTGCCTAGATGATGTTGAATCAAAGCCTCAGCGCAATTGAACAGTCTCTGGGATATCCCTGTTCATAGTTACTTCATTGTTTGGCATGGCATCAAACAGCAATAAGCAAAGCAAATGAGCAAGCAAAGCGTGACAAGAGGATGCCTCTCACCAGCTACCCACAGCTCCCACGGTCTTTCCTGTCTGTGTTTGTTTTGGGGGGAAATGAAGCATCTCAGTCAGGGCACACTTAATAGGCAGAACTAGCGCAAGAAAGCCTTGTAATATGTGTCTAGTGACATGCTAGGCAGAAATGACAGTAACCTGATGGAAATATATGGAAATTCAACATCCTGCCTCTCCATCCCCCCTCGCTACCCCCTGGTATGCAT